GAAAGATTGAGAAAAGACAAACGGGCAACAGTCGTACCAAGTAGTCTCAATATAAAATGGACAAATTTAGTAGGGTCCAGGCTAGGAAAAATGGAAAACATTCCAGCTCTAAGCCAGACCTATCACATTGTTCTAGGTAAACAATGACCAACACTCCCATAATACAGTATAACATACAAATACAAATGATCTGAGAATTCAGCTTCGCCTCTCTTCACATATTAAACACAAACCTCAACCAAGTTAAACTTGTAATCCAGGAAATCCAGAAGAAACTATGTAGTATTTGGTACCAGTTTGAGCAGTGTCCCACAGATGTCATATATACCACAGATACCCCACAGTTGTCGAATATTACTATTTCCTTCGAAAACTTAAATTCCCACCGTGCTCATGTGAGTTCACTTTGGTGCTCCAAGCTAACTTGGGGCACGTTTTGGGAATCTTAGGTTTAAAAAATACTGATCTGGCCTATGTGCTTACTTTATCAGTTAAGAAATAAGATTTGTCACAAAGCTAGTAGAAAAATAAATAAGAGATTTTCAGAGATTAATTTTAACTTTACAGCAACAGGTTTTGAAATAGAATTTAATCACATAATATTCTGTTGATGAAATCTGCAGATCTCTGAAAAACTATATTTGAAAATATATTTATATGATTGTATAATAGAAGAAAAATTCTGCTCCAATTTTTTTAGAAAAAAGGTTTCAAAAATTATAAAAGTGGTACTTAAGATAAACAATACAAAGTGTCTAAAGTAAAAAAAAGAAAGTCATCCACTCCCCCAAGGAAAATACATCTAATAAAAATAGTTTAATATCTATCCTTACAGACCCTTTCCTATGCATACAAATCAAAAGAAAATCAAACTACAATTCTTTGCCTATGTGTTTGTTTTTAGAAAACTGAATCATATTCCACAGTGTAGTACAACTTTTTTCACTCAATATTATATAATGAACATTCTTCCATGTCCGTACATAATAGTACATGCAAACACTTGACGTGGTGCTTACTATGCTTACTTAAAGTTTAAATATTAACTCATTTAATTGTCACAACAGCCCTGTGGGAAAGAACTATAATTATATCCATTTTATGAGTTTAAGTAACTTGCTAATAGTCACAGCTAATAAATGATGCAGGAGGATCTGAACCCCAAAAGTCTGCTGCATGGTCCCTGCGTTCAACAATATACTCACCCGCTTCTCGGAAGTAAATATAAATATCCCTCAACCTGTTAACAAGCGCACCTCATAGCACAAATATACTATTAATTTTAACTATTCTTCCACCAGTAGACATTTAAGACACTTTCTTGTTATTTGTAAATGTTAATGACATTTATTTGTAATGATGCTAATCCTTATAGATTTGTCCTTGTGCTCTTACATTAAAATTTCTGAGATCAACTCCTAGAAATGAAATGACTATCAAAAAAAAGTGCACTTTAAATTTTAATTTTGATAGGCAATACTAAATGTCCTTCCAGAACATTGTTCTAGTTGTACCAATTTACAGTCCCAACAACAGAGAGGGTTGAGATTCCTTTTTAAGTTAGCAAATATTTTTGATCCATAAAGAGGGGCCTGTTTTGAGTTTTTAATTAACATTGATATAGAACAGATTGTTCACAATTATCTTCTGATTTGATAATTATCTGACACATTAAACAAATGTAGACTTAGTAGCTATATAGTGGATTCTTCATCCTGTTATGAAACCAACCATGAGTAAGATATTTATTTCCCTTACATGAGACTCTGTTTACTTACATATAAAATGTGGGAATTGGATTAGCTGGCCTTTAAGATTTAAAACTCCCAATGCTGTAATTAAGAAGTGACTTAAAGTTATTACAAGCCTATAATTATAGTACTAGTATAACAGGTCAGGGTCTTAAAAGCATCTATTTTCTTTAAATTACAGTAACTATTGCCAGAACTATTGCTAAGCAAATCATTAAGTCATAAAGTTTTCAAGATCCACCTGTGGCTTCTTGGTGGCTTTTTAATCTCAAACTGTCATTCCCCTTCTACCTAGCAAACTTGAATATACCTCTGGAATATATTCCTACGAAGAGTTGGGGAGTGCCTAGGAACCATACACTAATGTTTTTGGCTATTAAATATTATGCCAAAACCACTCTTTATAGTCAATTTAGTCAACCAATACTTATTGACTATTTTACTATGTGCTAGGCAGTAGGTGCATGATAGTTAAGAGGATCTCTAACATCATGGAACTTACGAACTGTTTGAGAAAGGCAAATAATCTCCTGAAATAACCACTATTATATGTAAAGTTACACTTGTGATAACAACAAACAAAAAATATTGGTGCAGAAAAAAATATTCAATCGTTCAATTTTTCAGTTTATTTGGACTATTTGTGATACCAGAAATTGTCTGACGTGGGGGCGGGGGAAGTCGATAAAGGAAGTGATTTTGGGAGCACCCTTCTAGTTGCTAGATGGGATGCTGCCCAATTCATGATCTCTTAATAAAGCCATTTAAATCCTAAAAAAAAAAAAAAAAAGAAAAAGAAACACACAATGATGGTGCCATGTCAAAGGGACAGAGGAGCCAACTTAAAGATCTCCTAATGGCCAAAGCCATTTAAATCCTAAAAAAAAAAAAAAAAGAAAATTACTTCACGACTTGCCCCACACTGCAAAAATAGCAATCACAAGTGTGGATGGCCAGTTAACTTTTTAAGTCATCACTTGTTTCCACCATAAAATCACCAAGTAGTTATGCTACTGAACATGTGGCTTAAATATTTCTTTTATGTAGAGTATAAGAGTGTAAATTATTTGAAGTACCAAAGATGACAGAACTATGAGTACCCAAACAGAATGAGAGAAAACAAATTAATTACAATTTCTTAGAAACACTGTTCAAACAAAAAAGTACATGTAGAAGTAAAACAATCCATTATCATAATTTATGACTTATTAACAATTACTATAAAAATACTAATATTTTTAAAGAACTGACAATCATCGGCATAAGGAGCAAGTGGTATGTCAAAATGAACAAAATTAAAAATTTTATTTTAAAATAAATGCCAGAAGCATCTATATTAACTTAAAATAAAACTAGCTCTAGAATGTTAATTGAACTTATTGAAACTAATTGAAACTAATGTCAATTATAGCTCAATAAAAAAATAAATGAAAACTATTCTCAATCGTCTGCAGAAATATGAGCAGCATTCACATAAATATATGAACTTCCTTGTGTGTCACTTTCCACAACTGAAAAATAAGGATGATATGTGCCAAACCTACTTCACAAAATTGCTATGAAGACTAAATAATGTATGTGGAAGCACACCAAAAAATGATGTCAGTTATTTTACACAGTGGCTTCATTTTTGCTTCCACTATAACTCAGAGCAATTTAATAAATAATAAAATTGGTTAGATTAGGGACTTCATCTCCTTTCTTCTGTCCATGATATGGTAGAAGTGTTATAAAATGGGCAAAAGACTGTCAATCAGAAGCATTAAAAAAATTCCAAAACTTCCTAATTCATAAATTAATTACCCCACAGGAGGTTGGTTGTTCAAGTATTAATCCTCTTACATAACATACACACTAAGTAATCTCAGAGAATCAGAGAACTTCTTTCACATACTACTAAGCTGTTTACATATTATAATTCACTATCATTACAGCCCCACTACTGACTATGAAAAGAATGGGATACACATGTATTTATCCACACATACAATGTATTCTAGATTGATGTTTATTTTCTGATTTAAGTATCTTAAATTCAATGCTATAGGGGTTCAATGGTTCAGATTTATCTTAAATTCAATGCTATAAGGGTAAATTGTTTCAAATTTATTTTTTCAATTTAGCACACCAAAACAAATTATTACACACACACCCGCCCATGGGTTTGAAGCAACTTCTACCATAGGTCTCACAACCAACTCTCCAAAGTTACAAGCTACCAGCAGCATACTGCCTTATTTAAAAACAATATTTTAAACTAAGACTTTTTTTTTTTTTCTAGGAGAGCAGCTTTCAGTGGGTTATCATTGCTTCTACGAACCTTTTTCAGATTGCTACTAGGCCTAAGATAGTCTTTCCTTTAAAACCCTTAAAATACAGGGCAGGAGGAGGTATCGTTAACATGGCAACATAACCATTAACGACTTTTCCAAATTCAAAACAAGGATCGCCATCAAAACAAATCAGGCGGAGTACATGGATACTGATCACCCACCATTCCTGACAACCTGCTCTCTCCTATACGAAGGATTTTCCTATTACACTAAAGCCACATTAAAATCTATACCTATGTGCAGATTCTTATCTGAAAACTAAAAATTCAGCCAAATGTCAACTCATATTTGTAACGTTAGCTAAATATTATTTAACCTGTTGGGCTACATTTAAAGAGAGCGCGGGGGGGGGCGGGGCGGGGAATGACAACTTTCAAATTGTAGGGCTTTTTAAACCTTCCCTCAAATCATTTGTTAATTAATCGGTAGACTACATTCAGCAGCTGCTAGACTCGAGCAGGAGATCAAAGTTTTCCCCATACTTCAGAATGTTTATCCCCAGCAAAAAGGAACAGAAACTAGTCATCCTTGCCACTGGAGCCAGTTCCCCGGAATTTCCCAAAATATGCCGGATCTCCAAATGAAGAGACACTTCGTACACCAAAGGTGAGAGGTAGCTTACATCTTTCGCAGAAGAGGAGAGGGGCGGGGGAAGGGGACAGGCACTGGCAGGTAAGGAAGGAAAGCCCGTCTTCGGCAGGCACCGGTGGGACTTGAAACCCAGGTCTCAAGATGACCCTCTCCGCAAAGCCTCAGTACCCAGGGAGGTTCGCCGAGGGGGATGCCAGGCTGGGCCAGCGCCTCCCGCGCCCCGCCCCGCCTCTCTCGCCGCCACCGGGGACCCGGGACCGCGGACAGAGGCAGCGGAGGCTAAGCGAGCGCCCGCGGGTCCCAGCCAGGTCCTCCCGCAGCTCACCTGAGAGTGTCGCCTCCGCCCTCGGCTCCCACGGTGCATCCCGCGGGGCCTGGCGGAGGGTGCAGTGACGCCGCCCCTACCGGCCCCAGGGCTGCCCGGCCTGGCCTCCCCGCTCCGGGGACGCACCGGGTGCCCGCCTCGCACCGGCTCCCGGGAGCCGCGGGTCTGCAGAGAAGGAAGGAGAGGCAGAAAGGCTGCCTCCCCTCCCCCACAGCAAGCCAGCCCCTGAGCTGCGGCTCTCTGCAGTTCCCTCTGGCGCAGGTCTGGCCCCGCTCCCCCGCCCGGGAGTCACTTCGGCAGCGGCGGCCCAGTCGCCATTACAGCCCAACAACTGACACGGAGGAGGAGCGGCGCCGGCAGCAGTGGCGGTGGCGGCGGCGCGAGGCAGGGCGGGAGCAATGGGGAGCCCAGGCAAATCTCGCGAGAACTGTCCTGAGACGGTTCCACAGGAATGCAACCTTCGGTTAGGGCCATGTAGAGTGTGGCCGAAAGGTGAAAGGGACATAAAATGAGGAGCGGAACCTCGAGGGAGCCATATTTAGTGTGGCAAAGCTTGAACCTTGCAGGACTCGGGAGGAGGGAGGAGCCAAAGTAGATCCGCAGCGGAGACCTCCCCCCGCCCTCTTTCCTCTGACTCTAATTGGGCCTTCTGGCTGCGCATTTCACCCTCGGCCGAAAAAAACAAACTGGAGTGGGGGTTGACAAGGATGAATTCGAAGTCTAGAAATCGCATCTTCTCAGAGTTTACGATGTTTCACCAATTGTCCAAATAAATCTTCTTTACCCCCGTCATTTTCAGAGTTATTGAAGCTCTGCGGCTGCTGCAGCTCTCCACTGCTGTCACTGTGGCCGTTTTATTCGCAAGGGTTACCGTTCTGTTCAGAATGCCCTCTGTCTAATGGCTTAAGACTCCAGAGCAAGTAAAAGAGTATCCTCCCGTTAGATGTTGGCATTGATAGAACTGTGCTTTGAGAATCTCTCTGTGATCAGCATATCTTCTAATATCTTTATCTTCTTGTCCCAATCTCTACATGGTGAATTCTATCATCTGTCAAGACTTAGCTTAAATGACAGTTCTTCTGCAAATCGTTCCACCTTCCGCTAGGTGTTCACTGCGCACAAGCTCCCCACCCATCACTTTCCTCCACCGTCTGAAGTTCAATTGCTATTTATCCAGAGACCGTTTCTCATCTTTAAGTATTTTGAGGATTTTTAAGTATCTGTTATCTCTCTAGACCCTAACAGGGCACAATAGCACAGTAACTAGGACATCGCAGGTGCTCAATAAGTGCTTGCTGAGTAGATCCAATCAATAAAAGCAGGAGGCAGTAACTGCCCCCTCTTTGGAGGGCCTGTACCTGTGCCTGAATAGGACGTAAGTGGACATACAAAAATTCTGCACTTTTGTAAAATATGTACTGTGTCTCCACGAAACTGTGTTGAAGGGAAGAACAGGAAACGTGGGTATCCCAATGATGCAAGTGGTAGCAAGAAAACAAAATAAAGAGTTATTTAGGTTTTCCCCAACCTTTCTAGTGGGATAGATGCTTTTCACGTTATTTTATTGAGTTTATACAACCACTTTATTAAGTATTATAGTCATTTTTTCAAATAAAGGAAATAGGCTCTGAAAAGCTAAGTAATTTGCCCAATATTACACCATCAGTAAGTGGCGGAGATAAGACTCAAGGTCTCCCTTACTCCAAAGTCTGTTTAAACTTTTCCACCTCCACGCTACCTCCTGAGCAAAAGAGAAAATACCAAAAGTTCCTGTCACTACATGGGGAGCAATATTACCCTCTTATCAGCCTACGCACAATTTTCACCTCTGAACCTTGTGCTGACCCCTTGCCCTCTCCCTCACCTCCCAAACACCAAACACATCAACCTCTCTCGTTTTCAACATCCCATAACTCTTATTGTTTATCCCTAAAGATTAGCTCTCGAGTATATTAAGTTTTGTACAATATGCTCAGTTTTGTGAGTGTAATTAATTCTGGAACAAAATTGGAAGCTTAATGAGAAAAGTTTTGTCACCCTTCCCAATACTTTCCACAGTGCTAGGCACATAATAAATGTTAAATAGGTATCTACATCTTAGTAGACACCAAGATTGGATTTTTCTGCACTTTATAGTCTTTGTTGATTGCTATGGCTTTGACTCTCAACTTACTTTGTACAACTGGATCTTGCCTCCAAACTTTGGACTAGACTCTCCACATACATATCGAAGTCACCAGCACCTCCAGCTTCCACATGAAGCTAGCTCTTCCTCCTGACCTGTTTTTCTGTGACTGGCCATTGCAGAATACCCTTCTGAGAACTGACAGGCTTGAAAGTTTAGAAATATTATACACTATCCTCTATGCCTTGCTCCTACATAATCAATTATTAAGTCTCTAAATACCATTGATATATATTTTATCTACAGTAGTCCCCCTTATCTGCAGGAGATATGTTCCAAGACCCTCAAGTGGATGCCACAAACTGTAGATAATACCAGACCCTATGTATACTATTTTTTTTCCTATTTATACACACCTAAGATAAAGTTTAATTTATAAATTAGGCACAGTAAGAGATTAATAATGACAGTAATAAAAAAGAACAATTATAACAACAAAATAAAGGTTACTTGAACACAAGCACTGTGATACCACAACAGTCAATCTAATAACTGAGACAGCTACTAAGTGACTAATGGGCAGGGAGCACATACGGCGTGGATAGGTTGAACAAAAGGATGATTCACACATCCAGTGCGGGATGGAGTGGATGGCATGAGAGATTTCATCATGCTACCCAGAACAGTGTGCAATTTAAAACTTATGAATTGTTTATTTCTGGAATTTTCCATTTAATGTTTTCACATCATGGTTGGCTGCAGATAACTGAAACCATGAAAAGCAAAGCTGTGGATAAAGGGGGACGACTTTACTCCCCTTTTGTCCAGTTGCCACTGCTCTTCTAATTCAGGCTCTCATTTCTACTGCCCAAATGATGGCAGTTGTCTTCCCATAGTTCAGCTTGAGTTTTGTCCCTATCCTCCTCTGCCTGACAAGGTAAGTAAAAATGCCTCACTACAGTCATCAAGGTCTTTCTCAGCCTAGCTTTCTATCTCCCTGAAGTAAGGCAGCACAAAAAACTAGCAAGGGTAGGAATATGGTATCAGGGAAACTTCAGTTCAAATCTTGGCTCCATCTCTTATTTACCCTATGACCTCTCAAAACCCTCCATTTCATTGTCTGTAAATCAAGGCCAATCTATCTACCTTGCAGGGATGTCTAGAAATAACATCTGACAAGAACCTGGCACATAAAAGATAGAAACAAACAGTTTCTATCTTCCCTAGTTGGATGTGAATTTGAGCCAAACTGGATCTCAGACACGGCCCGCTCATTCCTACCTCTAGAACTTTGTTCCCTAACCTGAACCACGTATCGCCCTCGTTTAGAATTTCTGCCACGTTCTTTAAGTGGAAACTCAGGAAAAATTCCATGACTGCTCACATTTTGCAGTGCTCTCCCACCCCAGAACTCCACGATGTTGTGTATCTCCCTTAGGGCTGTATCTACGATTAATAGTTCTGCAATTATCTTACACTTCATTTACACATTAAACTGGAAAGCACTTTGTCTCCTTCAGAGCAGATTATGAGCATGAACTCTGGAGTCAAAAAGGCCTGGATCAAATCAAATAACTTCAGTCAAGGTCCTTAACCTCTTTGTGCCTCAGTTTCCACATTTGTACAGTGGAGATTACAATAGTACCTACTCCATAGGGTTTTGTGAGGATTAAAAGAAACAGCACAGGTAAAGGAAATATCATGGTACTTGGCACATAGTGGGTGCTCAAAAATGTTGGTTATTTTTCCTATTTTTTAATAAACTGAAATACATGCCTTGCATATACTAGGCACTCAATATTTGTTGAATTGAATTGAATGTTTGTTGAATTTAATTAAATTGGGGGTGAATAGCTACATGTTTTCTCTCCTGAAAATGTGAAATTTGACATTGATTTCCAGACATAACAAACTGAGAAATGGAGGGATACGGCTATGGCAATGCAGTGATGTCACTCACTATTTGAAGTGAATTGAGTAAAATTATGTGTCCGGATTGGTTAAAGACATTTCTATTGAAATGTCAAGCCTAAATGCCAAATCTGATATGTTATCCCGTCCACCATCTTTTCAATAATAAATTCAATCATTCAGTTTGTGAATCTAACAAACTATGCAGTTCTAACACATTATGCAAACACCAAATTTAGTGACGAGTTTTCTGGTTGGTTTCTTTTTCTCCATTCTGTCTTTTGGCTTAGTCTTGAACCTTTCTAGAGCATTTGGTGTTCTGACGTGAAGAATTGTGGAAAAACTAAAATTTATCAATAAGAACTTTCTTCGACAAGAAAATACAGTCACTTATCTTTATACATATATAAATATTTGTGTGTGTGTGTGAGCGTGCGTGCATGAGTATGCAAGCCAAGGAAATGTTAGAGAAGTCTCTCTGACAGAAGGAGAATAGAAACCCCTCTGAAAGCAGCCTTTAACCGCATTTGACTGTAACATGATAGGCTGGAATTTTTGAATGAGGTCCTATAACAGAATGATAGCTGCAACCAGGGTAAGTTGTGAGACAGGCCTCCAAGAAGCACATTTTCAAAGGAGCGATATAAGACTAGTTATGTGATTCCTGCGCTCCTCACACGCGATCCTTCCCCTTGGTCACTGATCTGAAAGGATTGAGAAACTGTAGATTCAGAAGATTTGAGAGGAAGTTTGTTTGGAGAGAACAGGCAGTGGGGTGCAGAGATAGCATCTTCTTGACCTCGAGCTAGTGAGAGGAGCTTTGAGGAGACAACATGGAGAGCTCAATGTGGACTTTAGATTCTGGGAGCCTGAGTCTGGACTCCAGCCTGAAAAAGGTACAGCAGCCTCCTCATCTGAAGAGAGGAGGGCGCTCGCCAAGTGAGTGTTTCTGCTCCAAAAGGGGAGTCAGGGAGTAGTGAGTCCCCAGACCTGATGTGGGACCTGAAGTAGGAACCCATGTAAATAGTATTCTGCTATTTAAGAAGAGGCAGGAGATATATGATATTTCTTCATACATACATAAAGTACCTCTATAGGGATGCAGAAGAGACTGCTAACACTGATTGGCTATGTGGAAGGGAACTGATGGCCAGGAGTGAGAGAAAGGTTGACCCATCGGACTCTTTTGTACTTTAAAAACTTTGAACCATGTGAATATACTAACCATTCAAAAATATTTTAAACAAAAAATAAGAATTTTCCTTTAAAAAAAAAAAAGAAATTAAAATGGAAGAAATCCTCCTATGGGGGTAGCATGTCAGGGTGAGTGGAACCCAGAATGAAGAGTACGTGGCTGGGGCAG